AACTGCTTGCCGATCTGGGTGCCCTACCAGGTCCGAGGCAAACTGAGCCACGTTCAGGGGAGAAACCACCAACACTGGATGTAAAAAGGGCCCCCCTAAGGACAAAGGCAAAATAAAAAACAAAAGGAGACACTAGCAACAAGGTTGGAACAAAAGAAATTATTGTGTTTTACAAATAACGATAACTGAGTGGTACACAGGCTAAAACACGCATCAAGTGGCACTGCTAAACGTACCCGACCAACTAACGAGGTAAAAATTCGAACATAGAAGCATGCGAAAAATCACACGAACTAATCCCAGAAAAACCAATTCACTGTAAACAAAGCAACTAACGCAGAGTTTTGTGCTAACAGAAACAGAAAAAAAGCAATGTCACTAATGTTACAAAAGAAAAACGCACGAAGCAACAAAGAAAAGTTACAATGTTTAGACATCTCAAAGGGTGCACATCGTACGCACGAGCAAGTTGTCGTAACAAACAGAGGGATTTGCGGGTTTTAAGAGCGGCGAGCTTTGGCACCAGAGCACGATCCAGGAGAACTTTCCCAATGCTTGCGATTGTCATGGCTGTCCCTGCTGGAACGGCTAGAGCATGCTGTCGCCCGATATGAGCCCGAGCAAACACTACAGCGATGTGCATAGCGGCACGAAGCAAAGGGGACTGTGCAGCGACCTTTATTCCACGAAATACAAACCACCGCAGAAGATGAGGATCCTGGAGGCTCGCTCGAGCGCTCGAGGTGCTCAGTGGATTGGGCCAGAGAAGACTCACGTACTGAAGAACCGGCGGCATGAAAATTAAACAGTTGAACATTCATACACGACCAATCTGTCTGGCGAATGGCTGCCGCATGTTCGCGGAAGGCTTGATCATACGTGAGCCAGACTTTTCCGGAGAAGTGACGAAATGTGTGCAGGATGAGGAGTTGATACTGCAGCAAATCCTTCCATCGATGTGGAAAATGAGTAACCATAACCAAGGCGAAGATGGAGAACGCCTCCATTCAAGCCGCAATGTCCTCGATCTTATGACGCTGTCTTTTGGGGTGCGAGGTAAGAACAAGGCGCCCGTCGAATAAAAGTTGCGGCTCAGAATCCTTTTGCTGCAGTTGCAAGTTCGCCGCCAGTAAATCGCTCAAGTCCATGTACTTGCCCACAACGATCTGAGCGACGATCTTCGCGGGCATGGGCGAAAAACCAGGACCCACGACAAATGGCTGATGTAACAGCGATGCGAGCTGCCCGACAGGACAAGAGGCAACATCGCAAATCGCCCGGCTCTGCGAGGAGCCTACGTTCGTGGCAATAGCGCTAGGAACGAAAGAGGACATGGAAGGCGGCGCAAATGTTGATACAAAGGATGGCACAACTAGTGAATGGTTTGGCCTACCTTGTACCACCTGTATGTTGAATCCTGTCCCTGAGGCCAACAAGCTTTCGGCGGAACTGGCAAGCGAAGGGAGCGAAGCAGGAACGCCCACCGAACATGGCGGCGTGGCAGTCGTAGGAATCACTGCTGAGGAACTTGGCAAAGGCACGGCACTTGGAGCAGCACTCAAGGACGCTCGTTCCGCAGCGAGAGCAGCTTGCACCGTCTGCGAAATCAATGCCACCAAATCAGGCGAAATTCCATCGGTTGCCGGTCCAGCCGATTGAAGAACAACTTGCGAAGCTTGACTTGAAGAGGGAACCAAAACGTTCTCACCAGCCGAATAAGTGGCGTTTTGCAACGAAGCTTCTTCTCCAGCCGAAGCGGTGGGGTAAAGTGGAGCAGTTTGCAAGCTATTATTCGTCCCACAAGAACCCATCATAGAAAATCGAGCAAGGTACGAGACAGCTAAATCGCCAAGCACAGTCGAAACGGCACAAATGCACGTGAGAATGAGTTGACCTCAAAAACCACACTGTAAAACCACACGACCCCCAGCAGACCCCACACCACTGCGCATGTCCAAAACAGGGGAAGGCTGCTGACCAGCATTGTTTCGCGTTTAACTTAGCTTAAATTACATTTAACCACATTTTTTGTATGGAAACTTACTAAAGAGGCTATGACATTTCAAATTGTTAACTTTCATTGGCTTTGAACTTGTATTGGTATCAAGAAAATACCACTGAGATTGTTGGAATTCGTTTATGATAGCAAATTTAAAGTAATTTTCACATTTTTAACAAAGTTGAAAATGTGCTATTGTCTTAAAACTGAAATCTTTGCTCTTTTGGGAACAGTGGGTATATGTGTTTATGGTATATCAATCCATTAGTACTGTTGAAAACTTGTTTATGCTGTGATATGTTACAAATGAAATGGATCAGGGCTGTCATTAAGGGTCGTAACCCGTAACACCTGTTACAGCTGAGTTCACTCTATGTTACGGGTGAAGATGTTGATTGATGGTACGAACATGCTACACTTACCTAATTTATTTTTAATCATTTATTTATTGAAATAAGCATAACTGTTTCTTGGTGTCCTGCCTCCTTGGTTCTACTATTTATATTTTACTCTGGAGATGAACTTTTAGTTTGGTTAATCGCCATGAATTACATTTAGATGCCATTTTAAGCAGCAAAACTTATTATGCAATGTGCTGTTCCTATCTTTTGAGAAATTCCGCTGACCGATGTAGAGTGTTTTCCAGGCTGATCAATCGTGTTTGGTCTCGCGTGTGTGTAGAGAAAGTTTTGTTTTAATATGAATTTTTCATTGGGAAAATTGCCATTTTCATGCCCTAGTAAGTAGGAAAATGCATTTCCAGGGGTTTCATGTTGCATGCCCCCAGACCCCCCAAGATGCTCAGGCCCTTTCGGGCCTTCGGAACGTGGCCTTTGGCCACGTATTTCCCTGCTACGGGTGATAACTTACATGCAACAGCTGCTTCAAACCTTCATGACAGCCCTGTGGATCAATTTTACCAACCACAAACCACAGACATGTCCTTTTGAACTCTTTGAAGTAAACATCTGTTTTCCTGAGAGTTCTGTTAAAATGACTGATGTCGGCAAAACATAAAACTTTCAATCAATAAGGAAAAGGCACCGTTATATATTTTCATCAAGTGCTCAGTTCATTCTTTGAACCACCACCAGTTTCTATTTTGGACTCTTATCTATCATCCCCTTTTCCAAAAGAAAGCCAAATTACATGTATTAAACTTTGGGTGGCCACTTGAAAGGGGTAAACTCCCTCATTATCTCATATTAATGTACCTGAAATGTTTCTCAGCATTCAAATTAGAAGTTTTTGTAGACATGTACACATGTAGAACAAGACATACTGGATTCAGGGCTCCTTTTATTGATTCATGAATATAGTACACACTGATTGATGAAAACAAGTTTCATAAGGCCAGGTTCAGACAAATACAGAACCTTAAAAGCTGGGCCTCAACAACACGGCATACATTTTGCTTATTTGAACTTAAATTTTAATCACAAAAAATGTAATGTTTTTAAAAGATGGAAGTCACTTTTGGTGATGGTTACTTGACACAATTCTCTTTTGTTTCTTAATTAACAGAGCCTCACATCAGTCCCAGAAATAAAAGATTATCTTCACTTGGTGAAGTAAGTCTTAACCATTGTATTACAAAATTGTTATAAATGTTGTCTCTTGACAAAGGAGAACAGAATTCAGATGGAGTGTTATCCTCTGAAAATTTTGCTTTTGTTTTCAGTGAGAAACCACAACATTTGTTAAAACAACATGGTCTACTGAGTGGTATAAGTGTTAGTCAAGTGTAGTTGGAATGTTTGTAGAACAATCTGATATTTATTTACTATTAGTCAACCCCTTCTGTAGTGCATTTTAGTTTATGCACCCTTTGCAATACTGAAAATAATCTATTGTCCTTATATTCATTGTATTTTAATGGGGGGGTGGTCCATGATGGGCCATCCCCCATCAGATAGACAGACAGATCTGTCACCCTATGAGTATTAAGGTTACTCCAATCTTTGCAAGTGTCCTCCAGAAAAAAAATTGATTTCAAGGAAACCTCCACAAACTTTATGTCAATAGAAAGGTTATGAAATGTAGAATTCGATAAAATTATGTTCTGTTTTAACTATCGCTTTCCAAATTCGGAAGAAACTGTCAACACCAAAATGAACAACTGACATTCCGGCGAATTAATCGGTGTGATCGTTGATGCAAAATAAGTGTGCAGTGTTAATGAAAAAGCTTCAATCTCTCAAAGTGAGTCAGCATTTTGTCGCATTTGTATTGGTTATCTTTTTATAGATCTGTCAGGGTCCACTATCAAATAATGTGCTATACGTGTTGCTTTAGAGACCACCATGAGAACAGTGGTTAAAATAAAAGAATTCAGCAATGCACTTTTGTTCCTTATTTATCAGTGAATGTTCTGGCCTAATTTTATGAAAAACAGTCAATTCTACATACCCTATTAATTAATACCCTAAGAACGAGTACGATAGTGTTACAGTCACCTTTTAGGCACAGGCGTTTTAGGCGGCTAGTCAACAATGGGCAAAAACTAAAGAAAAGCAATGTGCAACAAAACAAAAAGAAACCAAGGAACAAGTGCCGATGTGTGATTTCAGGGAGGCACTCATGATGGACATGAAATCTCTGGGGTAAGTTTTGTGTGCAGTAAAACTGAATATACCGGTGTTTGATATAGGATCTCTGGAAGAAGCCATTTGCCGCAATAGGTTTGCTGAGAAGTCCATGGCTTTTGGGGAATTATGATATCTTGGCGATTTATCAACTTTTATTAAAAGATCTCTTTTTCCTCAATAACTAATGCATGTTTTAATATTTTAATTCCATACAAAATTTGGCAAAAGTACCCCCACGAAGGTTTGGAGTAACCTTAATATACCAGGAGTTGCCAATTCAGCAAAAGTGAAATCCAGGAGATCACAAATTGTGCCTCTTCTCAACCCCCCAAAATATTTAACAATTATTCGCCAAAGGCGAGGTGAACATTGGTGAATATTCACCGAGACGAAGTCAAGGTGAATATTCACCAATGTTCACTGAGCCTGAGGCGAATAACTGTTTTAGTATAATTTTCAGAGGTGAATATCAAGGACTACAAAATAACAGACTAGAACATAAAACACAGATGCAACACACATATGCTGCCATAGTTTTAATAGTAAGCTTACATGTACATCGATTGTGAATCAATTTACTCATCGAGTTCGGCAGTAAAACAAACGAGTGAAACACTACAAAAAATAAATTCATCCAGTACCTTTGTTTTATTGTTGTTGACTTCATTCACAGCTGCCATCATCGTCCGGGCTAAAAATGAGTATCTTTAGTTTGAAGGAAAATAAATATCGGTCAATCAATCTATCAACATAACCACTACGTTTACAATTCTTAAATGCCTTGAATACAAGTTCTTGAAGAGATTTTTGGTCCAAGAGCGACAGCAGTCACTTTGAAAATTCTCCATCCTTTCTAATATCCTGGACTTGGAGTGATGTCTTTCGCATAAATGAAAACTCCATTCAGCAAGTGTCCGCCATGTTTACGTGCCGAGATGGCAAAGATAGCGAGCTTAGTAACCAAGCTTTAGCAGGGTGAATATAGCGTCATATGATGACCTTTCGACCAATCAGAATGTCCAATTCTTATATTTACCTCTGGAAATTATACTAAAGTAAAATATAACTGCTGATTGAACCTCAAAGACGTGTTAAACATCCGCACAAAATTTCCCCAAGATCTGCCAGAATTAATGTTACAGTGAGTATGAAGTACTTTCCTGTGAGATTTGGGGACTCGCATAGGAGACCAGGAGATTATTCTGTATTCAGGAGACTCTCAGATAATCTGAGAGAGTTGGCATCAGTGTTATATGTGGTGTATTTTCTGGCACTTTATTATTAGTGCGCGAGTTGAATAATAATAGATTGGGATAAAATTAGTGTTAAAGGTTCTAACTACAAAACAGAGAAATGTCAAAGAAACACTTTTGCATACGAGGTGAGACTGATTAGGTGTTCAATTCCAGTTTTGTTTATGAATAAACAGCATCTCAGACATAGATCAGACTCTCTAGCTTTCCTTTGACAAGGTCAGGAGACCACCTCAGTTGGAAAATCTGGCTTTAACCAGTCCAAAAATTGGCAGCATGCTCAAACTTCCTGAGGCAAAGCCACCCGTAGTGTGTCAAAAACATATTGTCTACAGTGATATGGAATACATCAGATACACCTGCTTCCATCTGTATCAAGGCATCATAGAGCATAAGTCACTTGTCACTGGGAAGCATTTACAAAGAAAAAGCATAATGCCAAGATCCTTGACCTTGCCAACAAATTTCAGTCCTTGATATTTCTCTCTGTTTTGTAAGTAGCACCTGTATCTCTTAATTTTTGAATAATCTATTATTATTTAACTTTTGTATGAAACTATTCACACGCTCCCTTCACATACAAACTTACGATTATTGTATATTGTTATTATTACTTTTATTATATAATAATAATTAAGAACATCAATACATGAATGTGGTTTTGGAGACACTTTTCTACATCTTACAGGCACAAAACTTTTGGTACTAAGAAAAAGAAGTACTGGTTTGTTTTTAAAGGTACCTTTACTTATTTTTTTTTATTTACACGTATGTATTTCTATTTTGGATTACCATATGTTTTCCTTTTCCTAGAGAAAACCTGCTGTTAAACTATTGAATGTTGTGTTCTCTTTTCCTCAGACACTGTCCTTTCATTGTTCAAAAGTCAAGAGGAAGCTTTTGGTGCACCGGTTCAAAAAATGAACCTGAGAGGTAGGAAGACAAAAACTATGAAATAATTCTTGTCTTAAAATGAGGAACTTTGGGCTTAAATCTCTCTGCATCTCATCACAGGTCATTCATAATATTAAAAAAGTATTCATATTATTAAACGTTTAGTTTGTCAAAAAATTTGACAGTAACCCTTGTAAGAGCATTTTGAGCCTTCTATTCAACTTATCGGCAGTGTTGCGCATCGTATGACTTTTTTGTTCATTCCTTCTGCATTCGTTTTATTGCTTGTTTGTTTGTTTGTTTGTGTGTTTTTTTTCTTTGTTTGTTTGAAAATGTTCTGTTTGTTCTGGGTTTCTTTGTTGTTGTCAATTTGATAACAGAAGATAGAGAAATTTATGATTAGATATTTGTAACATGCAACACATACAATTTGGCATTTCCTATGCTCACCCAGTTTCAAATAAGTTCACTGATTACCCTAGCAAGCGTAGCAAGCGTTTCTGTGGGGTTTGGAAGCAAAGAAAGACAGAGGGACGGGATTTTTGGTGTTTTGTCTGTGTGGAAAATGGGGCGAGAGCCCTGAACCCCACAGAAACGCTTGCTATGCAGACTATGATTACCCTTAATCCCTGAAAGCACTCCTTGGTTGGACATAATTCTCCTTTTCTGGCCTTTTGACTGAAAATGTATGGATCCAGTTCAAATCTAATGAGTGTCTTCCTCAAAACTGTTGGCCAATTTTGCAAGTAAAATGAAATACATCAACACAGTGTTACATATATAGTTCATGGCTTTCATTGTTCCTGAAGTCATTATCCCAAGAGAATATGAGCCCATGGGCAACACTAGCTAGTGTTGTTACTCAGTTCTCAATGACACGCAAATTAATTTGAAGTCTTAATGGAGTGTAAGTAAGGATATCATTATTGTTAGTGGCATAGTAAAAACCTTGTCACTACTGTATGATACTTTGCACTCATAATTTGGATGATCCCTGTTTCGTGTAGGTTGTGAGATCACTCCAGATGTTAACGTGAACAAAGAGAAGTTTAACATCAAGATAAAGCTTAAAGAATCAGATGACATCGAAATTTGCTGCTCATGTGTAAGTTTCCGTTTACATTTAACCTTTTTTAACTTGGAAAATATTTGTTATTTTCCAAGTTGTAGTGGTGGAACGATTTCACTCCATCACCCCGTCACCCCATCACCCCTTCACTCCTTCACTCCTTCACTCCTTCACTCCTTCACTCCTTCACTCCTTCACTCCTTCACTCCTTCACTCCTTCACTCCTTCACTCCTTCACTCCTTCACTCCTTCACTCCTTCACTCCTTCACTCCTTCACTCCTAAAAATGGGGACTTTTCGTCATCAACACTCCAAGTGAGACCAGAATCCTCGATTTGTTCCCGAGACGACGAGCATCCCCGACATTTTCATATAGGAGTCCCCCCGGNCCCCCCCCCCCCGAGTTTCAAACATCGCTGTCTAAGGCAGTTTTATAGTCGCTTGCAGCATGTCAAGTTAGTTATTTTCGAGAGGTAGAAGGTACAACGATTTTTTCATTGTAAGGAAAATACTTACGGTTCTTGCTTAGCGATTCAGGGAAAGTCTTCGTGGTTTTTCCTTCACAATCTACGTGATAATTGTGAGTTCGGAAGCAATCAATATGGCTCCAGACAATTTTTTTAACTCAAGAAACAGAAAGACAAACACTACCTTTCGGTTAATGGTTTCTTGACGGAAAAAGAAAAAAACATTGAAGAAGAAAAGGAAAGATATACAGTAGTCCCCACTAGGATTCGAACTCCCAATATCTCGCATGGCTTATCACACTGCGCTACTTGGACATCAGTTACCGAAGAGCGAAAGTATTGATTATTTATTTACATACTGCAGGCTCAAGTGTTTCGTTCAGTCTATACCTCACTTTTGACCAAACAAAATGATCTTGCCGTTTTTGACTACAGCACAAGGAAGACATGTACAGATACATGCAATGTAAAACGTGTAGGCAGGCCTGAGTAACAAACAGTTTCTTAACATTGAACTTTTTCATTTTGCAAATATCACAACACACCCCTGAATGGAGAAAGGCTTTATGGGCTTGTTCGAAAGCTAGACTGCCCTCACATCACGAGTAGTTCCTTAATGAGCAATGCCTCGTAACACCCTTTCATAATATATTTTCCAAGTTCAGTGGCTTACAGCCACTTTGATTTGCTTTTCTGCTACTCAAAGTATTGGTATACCCCGATCAAAAAAACTTGAGTTGTTTTTAGTCATACCACAGGATTGTTTGAGATTTTTAATTTGCAACAAAAATGAAAGAGGCACATTCTTTCATTCTGATGCAATGCTTTGTAAGCTAATGCAAACAACTTTTCTTGAATGTAGACTTTCCTCAGTGGAATCGGATAAGCACAGATCCAAGTTCTATTCCAAAATGGCTGCCAAGTTCTTGTAACAAATGCATGTCTGCACTTGTAAGAAATACTACTGGTCATTACACAGACCTTGTCAGTGTGTTGTGCCAGCATGAATAAAATTTAGCTTCAAACTGAAATTCTGGAAGGCAGTGATTTTGATTTCTGCGACACTTTGGTTTGCAACACCCTGAAGCAAAAGTATGCAGACCTTGCATAATTTTGTTCCAAATTTAGTATTTGCAGTTCAGGAAAATTTGTGCTCAACTTCTAGCTCAGTCAAGTTTCTTTCCTAACTCAGACACCTAAAGGTACAAGGTGGTTTCTCCTATTTTTGAGTCATTTTTAACTCACTAGCAAGGAGTGAGCAAATAATTATGCATTTTATGCTTCAATTTACCCATTATAACTACAAACCCTTATGAAAATGACATACGTGCTGAGCGGCTCTGTTCCTAAAGGCAACACAAACAACAGGATGGATAGAAATAGCTTTGTGAAATTTAACACATAGCCGTTTTATTAAACTCTGAACAATTTTAAAACATTTCTGGGTGATTCAATTTGTCAAAAAAGAACTGAAATTAACGGGGCGAAATTTTGAATTGTATGTGTTAGTCCCAAAGGGAGTCTACTGTATGGACCATAGTTTTCTTCTCACGAGGAATTGAATTTAAGCTAGCTCATTAACAAGTGCAGCTGGCTTTTCTGGCTGTACACCTTTGAATTTCCCCAGGCGCATTGATTGATCGTTCCATTGTTGCGTATATGTCATTGGTACTTTAGGAGTCCCAGTATTCCAAATGGATGGCAGCTTGTCGCTTGGCATCCAAAGGAAAAACTATGGCTGATTCTGGGTATGACGCAGAAGTTTCTGGTATCCAGGCTTTCCTCAGTATGCAGCATGATAAAGGCGATGTGACACCCCTCAGTCCTGGACAGGTTTGTTCAGACGTATCAGATGGCCAGATTGAAGTTAGTCATTTAAAAGGCTTTTATTTTCTCCCATCACTTAGATTTAATTATCATGTTTGCTGTAAGTTTTCTAAGTAACTAATGTGGTGCATTATGGTAGATGCCAGTTTGAAATATGACAAAGATGAAAATAAGTTGATGGGTGGGCAGACAGACAGACAGACAGACAACCTTTATTTAACCACAATAGAAATTAAAGCTAAGTAGCTTATAGGGTCGTGCATAATAATTTAAATTAAATTAACACAGAGTCAGACTCAACAATTCCGAGTTCTACTAAAAAGGAGTCAAACCTCCACTACCATGCTATAAGAGACTTGTAGGAGCCAGGCCATACTACATCAGTAGCTACTTATTTGAATGTTTGGTTAAGTTGATTGTCCTTTGTAAACAGATTCCCATTCAACCTGAAGATTTTGTTGGGTCAAGGATGTTGAAAAAGTACAAAGCTAAACAGGTAAGGCTGGTGAGCCAGCACACGGTCAGCATGCAATAATGTGCTGACAACAATATCGATTAACCATCATAGTGCAACGTTTTCATAACATAACTGTGTGTAACACAATTTGTCGGAAAATGTGTCAAAGTCCAGCAAGCACTGATATATCTGCTGGTAAAACAAGATAAAGAGACAATCGGTCAGTGAGTGAACTGGTGTAAAATCTGTTCCAAGTGTTCCAAAAGCTTACAAGCATTGTTTTATTAATACTGGATTACATTCGAATTGGATTTTCTGTTCCATGCAACTTAACAGTGTTGAAGTGTTATATCCAATATTTTTGTTGAGGGCAGGGTATTTCTCTAGTCTCCCACACAGACTCTTTGGGCTTGTTATTTTACTTACTTTTTACTTATTCAGGCTTAACACAATAACGTTCGATTAAATCCTTCGTTTGTGTTGGATGCTTTTGGTGAACTATTGCTTATTGTTACAATTTTTAAATACTAAATGATGAAAGAGACGTTAAAAGTTCAAGCACCTCTCTCATCATTTCACCCGTTGAAGACTACAATTTAGGCAAACGAAAGCTTGTGTTGTATAATATTTTTAGCCAGAGATCGTTTTTAAGTTTTACTAGATATTTAAAATTGAGCATTGCTCTTCGCACATCAAATGATTTCATATCAGCCGCATCTGTTACATGGTGCTCGAGTTTAAAAATGCGCACCTTCTCAGTAGATTCCTTTCCCTGGAACTTCTTTATCTTACATTTGGCGACAATTAATAATAACTCATTTGTATTGATACTGCCGTATCATTGCTTAGCCTGATAACTTTCTCTTTCAGATTGCGGCTCGTATTCTTGAGGCACATTCTTCCCTGAACAAAAGTTCATTGATTGAGTCTAAAATGTTATACATCAGACAGTGGCAGGCATTACCCGAGTTTGGTCTTTCTCATTTCATTGTTCGATTTCGTGGGTCCAAGAAAGAGGTAAATCATAGTGTAAATATTTTTGAGTGTCACTAACGTTTCAACAGTGTCTGTGTAATAATTAATTAACGTTGTGAGTGGAGTGACAAAACGTCATTTCTTAGCATAGCGACATGCCATTTTCAGTCAGTGGGTTAAACCATAATCGTCTGTGTTATCACACGGTACCAAGTGTTTTTCATTCGCCCATTATTCTGTGTAGCCATGATTACCAAAACATTAGGGTGTGAAATTCTTTGCCACTCACTGACTTATTCACTTAAGAAGAGATTTATCTTGATCAGCGTCTCTTACAGGATGATACTGGTAGCTTTTATTACAGTCAGGTAGATACTCGCCGATAGCCTCCGAATTTGGTTAGTGTGACAGAGTCGTAGACAACAGTGTAAAATCTGAATTGTTTGGTCATAAGTAGTGAGGCCTGTGGCTTCAGCGTTGAGGTTGGTGCTATGATTGTGGCCTGTCGAAAGAAGTGAGGCTGGATATCGTTTACGGACGTTACTCATTCATAAAGTTCAACCAATTTTCATTCCTCTATATGTCAGAGCATGCCTAACCAATATTTTTTGTAACTCGCACTTTTGCGTAATCTTTGGAGTGGCAGTTCAAACTCCGCCATGACTTCATCTTTCCTTCCGTTATAGGAAGTCCTTGGTATAGCTTTTAACAGAATCATGCGAGTGGACCCAGCAAGTCGTGAAGCTCTCAAGACGTGGCGATACAGTGTGATGAAAGCTTGGAATGTAAACTGGGAAACCAGGGAAATGGTTGTACAGTGTGAAGGAGAAACCATTACGTTCGGATGTACCAGCGCAGACATTAAAGTAATTCATGAATTTATTGGAGGGTATATCTTCATGTCAATGAGAAAGGATGTGAATCAGCCGCCGAATGAGGAGCTGTTCTTCAAGTTGACTGGAGGGTGGGTTTAGAACCAAAAGTCGCGTGCTATTGGACCAACCATGTCAACTGTGACCGGCTTTGGTGCAGTTTGACACTGGTTGAACTTTGATTGATTGGTTAATTCCAATGAAACACGGTCATTCAACCGACTAACAAAAGTAACAAAGAAACGTTTCTCCGATACGACATTCAAAAAACACTGATTTAATTTCCCAATTTAGCCAGATAGAACACGAAATGAAAGACTTATTAATGTTGGTCACTGGAGAAGCTAGGCAAAAAATGTTACGTAATGAACACTAGTTAGTGCCTGAACTCAACCGTCCTTCAGAGTTGAGGATATCTCAGCTTTTTTTTTGGTGAACAGTGTTGCGTGACTTGAAACAGACAGAGATGAAGTCAAACAAGGTTTGGATTGGAAATTACTCTGTCAGATAGCGATTAAAGAAATTGGCTTTCAATTAACCAGCCCGAATTCAAGAGAGCAAATACTAGTATTCAAACGGTGACCATTTGTCTATGCAAGTTAACAAATACAGAAGTTTTCTTGTATTTAATATCTGATTTTCGAACCAGCAGATTTTTACTACGATCTTTGTTGATCGTGATGTCATCAAAAGTAGATGCACAAACCATTTTTAACGCATCAAAATATTTCAGTTTTTAACTTTGTTTTGTTTCGAATGGATGAATTATTATTGGACAAAATATTGTGTGGTATAAATTTAGTAAGGGACCACTCATTTGTCATATACAGGAGCATGTTCCATTAAAAAGCTTGAATACAGTAAAAACCTTTGTAAGAACCTACATTTTTTAAGTCTAGCAAAATAGGTTCTTGTATTTTGGTGTAGTTATCGGCAATTTAGGCTAATTAGGTTCTTATTAGGTTCTTAATGATAAATTTGGATTTGGTCCTTAAATATGCAGTGTTATTCGCAACTGTATTATGATAAGCCAAACACAACTGATTACAGAATGTATGATAGTGTTGTCTCTATACCAAAGAGTTCATAAGTCAACTGTAACCCACATGGGGTTACTTTGCTAAACGGTTTCTTATATTTTTAGGTTTTAAAATGGCAATTTTCCGCCAGCAGATTCTTAAACCACTAGGTACTTACACGCGTGTTTTTACTGTAGTTAAAGAGGGGCACTGAAAAATTCAGTGAGGAGAAAGAGTACCACTGTAAAAACCTGTCCAAAATTACAGTGTTTAGCTGCTTACATTCAAAGGATTCGTAGTAACGGAATTCAATTAGGAAGTGATCAAAGACTAGATTCTTCCAGAGATAAATAATGTTGCGCTTAATCACAGTCTAAATATTTCTCTGATGCACCAGTTTCCGGAAGAATCTTTCTCAAGTGAACACGTACGTAGCGGCGATGTGTTTGCTTTCAGAATGTTTGTGTATATCCATTTCTTCTGATAAAAATGAGATAATGAGTTTCTTCAGAAACATGACTGGGTTTATACGAAAAGAAAACATCGAAACCTAGAATTGTAACCAGGAATGGTTGTTATGAAAAGAATACAAAAAGTTTGAAATTGTTAAAAGAAAAATGCTATTGAGGACTAGAAAAGGCGTTTCGATCGAGAGTCTTGGATCGTCAGAGCTTTCAGATGGAATGATAACTGGTAACGGTTAGAAAAGTTGTCCACAACTACTGTGAAATCCCACGTCAAAGTCCTGGGCTTATAATTATAACTTCATAAGGTGTTTTGGGTGGGCTTGTAAACGGGGGAGGGGGGCGGCTTATATCCGGGGGGCATATAAGCGGAACAAAAAAAATATGTTTCGGAACGACGAGATTAAACGTATCTGAGAGACTTATTAAAGCTAACATACCATTACATTTAGAGCTATCACCCTATCACCTAGGCTCGATTTCCGCTGCTTTCTCGGGTCCGGTCTAGTTCGGAGGAGGAGCGCGGGCTCCTTTCCCGGATAGCGGCTGGTGATCGAGCCTACCTATCACCCTGTTACCCTATTATTACCCCATCACCCTATTAGTCTGTAACTTTCGATTAAAAATTTTGATGTTTGTGAAGAAACGCGAAAGAAACGCACTTATGCATTAGATGGGCTTATATCCAGGGAGGGCTGACATCTGGAATAATATCTTTGTAAGCAAATAGAAGGGCTTATATCCGGGGGGGCTTATAACCGGGGGGTGCTTTAAGGTGGGATTTTACGGTATGCTAGTATCAGATAGGTGAAAAAAAAAAAA